TGGCGCAGCTTCTCTCTGTGATTGGTGATTACGCGATTCTGAATTTTTTTAATTTAAAGTCGTGTAACCTTGGGCAAAATTTATTAATGCCAAATTTTGTCTTTTTTTTAAGTATTTTTTGAACTCAAAAACTTCGAAGGTATCTATCAAAGGAGTTCATCAAATTATTTTGGTCGGCATTTTACATTATTTACTTCTCAGTTACATAGCACCCTTATTTCTTTAGATATGGAGTGTTCAAGTGGACGTTTGGATTGGGTTCTTATATTATTATTAGATAGCTTCGAGCGGGTTCGATTATAATATAACAATTTAGATAATTCCCTAATTTTGAAACTATTTTGTTTCTTTCCTATTAATCAAAGTACCGATAATTCAGAATTAAATTCAGATAATAAATTATTATCTTACAAATGTATAGTAAGATACCTTCTCTGAAATTTAACAATTTGATTATTGGATACAGAAAAGTTATAACCGATGATAAAATTTGAATCTCTGAAGATAATTTTGTTCTCCATTTATAAGTTAGGATAGTATTAATAGCTTGTAAAGAAAAAATCATTTCAAATTAGAACCTATAGTACAGCAGATAAGACAGACGTGAAACGACGGAGAATCTCTTTCAAAAAGTATGTATTATTCAGATAGTTTATTAATATTCTTTCTTCTAGATTCTTATATTAACTGTAACGATATTTTTAATGTATATATCAGAATTCTTTTCCTCGTTCGGTTTATTGAACTAATTAATACATCCTTTTCTTTATGTTTATCCTGACCTTATTTAACTTAGTATAGACAACTGGGACAGGTCATGAGACTTAACACGACGCAAAGTACTTACTATTTTTCCACTTGATTTCCTTAGCATTGCTACTAATGGTAGTATACGACGAATATCTGAAATGGAACTAGAAAAATTGAACGTTCGTTGTTTTTTTTTTTATTATTTGCTTTTAGAATAACATTTTTTCACTTATTTTTTAGGGTTCTTCAGCATTGGCAACGGTCAATATTTGACGTAAGTCAGCATGGTCTGTTCTAGCGTACTTTGCATTATTTTAATAACGTTATTCCAGCCATGACTTTATATACAGTATTATGTCGTGGTTCTCCAACAAGATCGAATCCTTAAATCGCAAATAAGAGAGTTAGTGATCTCGATATTTGGCATTTTTGGTTCTAAGTTTACAGCTAAATTCAAATTTTACGGACCCAAAATTTTATCCGAAATGTTGTCGAGATTCATACATTATCGTTATTATAATAACGATAATACTATTTAGCAACTCGTGATCATCCTATAGCTATGTATAAATACAGTGTATGAATCCCGACAACATTCGGGTAAAATTTTGGGGGGTGATCGTAAAATTTGAATTTAACTGTAACAAGTTTCTTCTCAAGGATGTTGATTTCTCAGAAG